TATACTCCCACCTCGGCCTCCCAAGTAGCTGGGATTACAGGCACGCACCACCATGCCCAGCTAATTTTTTGTATTTTTAGTAGAGACAGGGTTTCACCATGTTGACCAGGATGGTCTCCATCTCTTGACCTCGTGATCCACCCGCCTCGGCCTCCCAAAGTGCTGGGATTACAGGCGTGAGCCACCGTACCCGGCCCTTTTATTTTTAATTAAAATACTGTTTTAGACTGGGGTCTTCCTATGTTACCCAGGTTGGTCTCAAACTCCTGGACTCGAGGGACTCCCACCTTGGCCTCCCAAAGTTCTAGGATTACAGGCATGAGCCACCACGCCCAGTCACGTGGTCTTTCTTTACGCAGTAGGCAGGAAGAGCCCCTGCTTAGCTGGGTGCGGCGCCCCCTGCCTGTAATCCCAGCTATTTGTGAGGCTGAGGTGGGAGGATTGTTTTCATAAATCAGGAGTTCAAGGCTTCAGTGAGCTGTGATGGCGTCACTGCATTCCAGCATGGGCAACAGAGTGAAACCCAATTAAAAAAAAAAAAAAAAATTAACCGCCTTGGGGCATGCCTGGCAACAGGGGGAAGCCACCCAGCATGCCAGCAGTGTCTGCAATGTCAGACGCTGGGGTTCCAGCCGTTCCATTGTCTGTGAGCTTTTTTTTTTTTTTTGAGACAGAGTTTCACTCTCGTTACCCAGGCTGGAGTGCAATGGCACGATCTTGGCCTGCCACAACCTCCGCTTCCCGGGTTCAAGCAATTCTCCAGCCTCTGCCTTCTGAGTAGCTGGGATTACAGGCACGCACCACCATGCCCAGCTAATTTTTTTTGTATTTTTAGTAGAGACAGGGTTTCACCATGTTGACCAGGATGGTCTCGATCTCTTGACCTTGTGATCCACCCACCTCGGCCTTTCAAAGTGCTGGGATTACAGGCTTGAGCGACTGCGCCCGGCTGCAGGTGGGATTTGAACCAGGCAAATGTGACCTCAGACAGAGCTTTTCCTCCTGCCTCCCCCTGTGAGGCACAGTCCCAGACTGGCCAGCCTCTGGCTGTGTCCCGTTCCACCCTCCTCCCCTGTCGCTCTCCTCGGAACTTCCCCAGCGTGCCTATCAAGCCTCCGCGGCCACCTGTCGTGGGGATCCCACCTCCTCCCAGCCGGGGCTGTCTTACACATGTCTCTAAGTTCAAACGATGACTCAGCTCCATCCTGAAACCTCTCCTTGGGGACAGGAGTCACGCCTTGCTCATCTTGTTCCTCTCTGCAGAAAAACATGATGTCAGAGCCCAGCCACTGCCAATTGCCAATCACTTCCTGGCTACATCCGGAGTGAAACGCAGACCCCTCCCACAGCCCCCAAGCCAGTCTCTCTGAGTTCATCTTCCCAGCTCTCCCCAGGCTTACCCTGTTCCAGCCCCAGGGCCTTCTCCGGATTCCTCAAACGCACCAGGTGCAGTCCCGGCTGAGGACCTTCTCATGAGCTGCGCCTGCCGCCTGGGACCTCTGCCCACACAGCCCCTCAAGCCTGGCTTTTTACTTTTTTTCTTTTTTGAGACAAGAGTCTCACTCTGTCACCCAGGTGGAGTGCAGTGGCGTGATCTCGGCTCACTGCAACCTCTGCCTACCCGGTTCAAGCAGCTCTTCTGCCTCAGCCTCCTGAGTACCTGGGATTACAGGAGTCAGCCACTGCACCCAGCTGCTTCCCAGGTTGAAGCTATTTTCCTGACTCAGCCTCCTGAGTAGCTGGGATTACTGGTATGCGCCACCATGCCTGGCCAACTTTTGTTTTTTGTTTGTTTGTTTTTGAGATAGAGTGTCACTCTGTCACCCAAGCTGGAGTGCAATGGCATGATCTTGGCTCACTGCAACATGCCCCTCCTGGGTTCAAGTGATTCTCCTGCCTCAGACTTCCGAGTAGCTGGGATTACAGGCCCCCACCGCCATGCCCAGCTTTATCTTTTTTTAAAAAAAAAAATTGTATCTTTAGTAGAGATGAGGTTTCATCATGTTGGTCAGGCTGGTCTTGAACTCCTGACCTCATGATCTACCTGCCTCAGCCTCCCAAAGTGCTGGATTACAGGTGTGAGCCACCGCACCTGGCACGTTTCATATTTTTAGTAGAGATGGGGTTTGGCCATGATGGTCAGGCTGGTCTCGAACTCCTGATCTCAGGTGATCCACCTGCCTTGGCCTCCCAAGGTGCTGGGATTACAGGTGTGATCCAGTGTGACCAGGCTTTCTGTGTGTGTGTGTGTGTGTGTGTGTGTGTGTGTGTATGAGATAGGGCCTTGTTCTGTTGCCCAGGCTGGAGTGCAGTGGTACAATCATAGCTCACTGAATCCTCAAACTCCTGGGCTCAAGTGATCCTCCTGCCTCAGCCTCCCAAGGAGCTGGGACTACAGGTGTGCCCATCAGGCCTGGCTAATTTTTTTTTTTTTTTTAAAGATGGGGGCCGGGCACGGTGGCTCAAGCCTGTAATCCCAGCACTTTGGGAGGCCGAGGCGGGTGGATCACAAGGTCAAGAGATCGAGACCATCCTGGTCAACATGGTGAAACCCCGTCTCTACTAAAAAAATACAAAAATTAGCTGGGCATGGTGGCACATGCCTGTAATCCCAGCTACTCAGGAGGCTGAGGCAGGAGAATTGCCTGAACCCAGGAGGCAGAGGTTGCGGTGAGCCAAGATCGTGCCATTGCACTCCAGCCTGGGTGACAAGAGCGAAACTCCGTCTCAAAAAAAAAAAAAAAAAAAAAAAGATGGGGGTTCACCATGTTGCTCAAGCTGGCCTCAAACTCCTGACCTTGTGATCCGCCTGCCTCGGCCTCCCAAAGTGCTGAAATTACAGGCGTGAGCCATCACATCCAGCTGCCTGGCTAAGTTTTTAAAAAATTATTTGTAGAGATGGGAGTCTAAGCAGGTTGCCCAGGGTGGCCTCGAACTCCTGGGCTCAAGCGATCCTCCGCCTTGGCCTATCAACGTGCTGAGATTACAAGTGTGAGCCTTAAAGACAGAGGCTGCAGTGAGTTATGATCACACCACTGCACTCACCCTGGGCAATACGGGGAGACCCTGTCTCGAAAAAGAGAAAGAAACTGATCTCATTAGAGGACCCCACCTTCATGAGCTCCTCTAACCCCAACATCTTCAAGGTTAAGCCCCCTCCAAATCCCATCCCACTGTGGGTTGGAGCTTCCACAGACGAATTTTGGAGGAGACACATTTAGTCCACGGCACCTCCCACAGTGTCAGAGAGCCTCCTGCTCTGCCCCCACCTCTTCCAAACATCCCCAGGACTCCGAATTCTGCAGCATTCCAGCCACCACAGCAGGAGGGAACCCTGGCTCCAGCCCCTCTGGGCAGATCAAGCCCTGTTTCCATATGTCCTTGTGTGCTGCAGTGGGCAGGGAGGGATGGTGTTAAGGGCAGGGGCCGGCTGGGCGTGGTGGCTCAGGCCTGTAATCCCAGCACTTTGGGAGGCTGAGGCGGGTGGATCATGAGGTCAAGAGATCGAGACCATCCTGGCCAACATGGTGAAAACCTGTCTTTCCTAAAAATAAAAAATAAATTGCGCCGGGCGCGGTGGCTCAAGCCTGTAATCCCAGCACTTTGGGAGGCCGAGGCGGGTGGATCACGAGGTCAAGAGATCGAGACCATCCTGGTCAACATGGTGAAACCCCGTCTCTACTAAAAATACAAAAAATTAGCTGGGCATGGTGGCGCGTGCCTGTAATCCCAGCTACTCCGGAGGCTGAGGCAGGAGAATTGCCTGAACCCAGGAGGCGGAGGTTGCGGTGAGCCGAGATCGCGCCATTGCACTCCAGCCTGGGTAACAAGAGCGAAACTCCATCTCAAAAAAAAATAATAATAAATAAAAAATAAATAAATAAATTAGCCAGGCGAGGTGGGGCACGCCAGTAATCCCAGCTACTTGGGATGCTGAGGCAGGAGAATTGCTTGAAACTGGAAAACGGAAGTGGCAGTGAGCTGAGATGGCATCACTGCACTCCAGCCTGTCCACAGAGCAAGACTCCATCTCAAAAAAGAAGGCTGGGGCTAAGAATCACGGAAGCAAAATGTCAAAATGTGAAGGTGGCCCCACAAAACACGCATGATAAATAACATATACATTATGTATTATATATTATTATATTATATAATGATAGTATATTTTATACATATATATTTTTGAGACAGAGTCTGGCTACTATTGCAATGGCATGATCTCCACTTACTGCAGCCTCTGCCTCCCAGGTTCAAGAGATTCTCCTGCCTCAGCCTCCCGAGTAGCTGGGATTACAGGTGCACACCACCACACTTGGCTAATTTTTGTATTTTTGGTAGAGACGGGTTTTCGTCATGTTGGCCAGGCTATTCTCGAACTCCTGACCTCAGGTGATACGCCCACCTCAGCATTGCCAAAGTATGCAATACATTTTTCTAAAAAAATCTAAATGAATGCAAAAATGCCTATGTTGTATAGATTTTTAAAATTTACTGTAATTTTGTTTAAAGCCATGTGTGGTGGCTCACGCCTGTAATCCCAACACTCTGGGAGGCCAAGGCAGGCAGACCGATTGGGGTCAGCAGTTTGAGACCAGCCTGGCCAACGCGGCAAAACCCCGTCTTTAGTAAAAATGCAAAAATTGGCCGGGTGCGGTGGCTCACGCCTGT